CTTTAGTTGTTTGTGTAGACAAAAAAGTGTCGGTGTGAAAAAATTAGTTGGAAAACAAGTGTTGGTGTACACAGACGTTAGTTGTCTGTGTAGATAAAAAAGTGTCGGTGTGAAAAAATTAGTTGGAAAACAAGTGTCGGTGTACACAGACGTTAGTTGTCTTGTATAAAAAAAGTGTCTGTATATATACAATTTTAGTCTGTGTACATAAACACTATAGCAAACCACTGTCGGTGTGGATAAAACGTAAAAAGTGAGAAGGAAAGAAAAAGAAGAAGATGGTGATGAAGATAATGAAGATGATTAGGGTGAATAAAACCTAAAAAAGAGAAGGAAAGAAGAAGAAGAAGAAGAATAAGAAGAAGATGAAGGAGAAAGGAAGAAAGAAAGAAGAAAGAACAAGATGTTGAAGGAGAAGAAAAGGAAAGAAGAAAGAGAGGAGGGAGGGGGATCCGTATGATTCAAATGGGAGAGGAGTGAAGAGAAAAAAGTTGGGAGGGGAGAAATAAGAAATGGGGGGGGGGTTATATAGGGTGTACACCAAGGTGTACCCCAAGATGTACCAAAAGAATTTTACATTCAGCCGCGGAAACATTGATGAAAGTTAAATTACACCATGTACTGTGCATGTGGAGTAAAAGATTTCAAATATGGTAATGATTTTACTTTGACGTCGGTGATGACAATCAAATTGTGCATCTCATGCTCTAATGATTGTAACTATATTTATCGAACATTGAATGTAAAAAAGAAATGGTATATATTTATAGCAATTCATAATTGTGCATTTGGGCGGGAATTTCCCCTCCAATAATAGTAACAACTTTGCTACTTTATAGATAGTATTATAGTATAAGGATAAAGTTTTCACAAGTTTTTGATTGAATTCCGGCCTTGGGGTGACAAAATAATCGACTAAGAGAGATTGAAAGTGCCAAGTGTTGATAAGTAGCAATTTGGACAGAGTACCAAGTTTGGGCAAAGAAAATCGTATCTCTTTCCACAGACTGGAATGTGATATTTATACCGTAAAAGGAAATACTCGGTGCCCAAGTATAAAAGATATTATTCTAATGTGGTAATGACACATGTAATACTTGGTCATCAAGTAAAATGTACTAGTTTAATCACAAGGATACACGTGTGAGGCTTGACTGACAAGAGGATGGAGACACTTGGCTGATTGGTATTGTGACACCGCACCCGAACGTCCTTGAAAAACTCAATATAAAAAAAAAATTAATTTCTATGTATTGAATTTTCGGTTTCCAAACAATTGTAAAACGATTAATGTTTTACGTAGCGCATGATTGATTTTTGTATTGTTCAAACTCGTATATTAGTATCGGGTTTGCAAATACTTATTTGGGCCTTAATAATGAACATAAGAGCCCAACATTATCTAAATAATGTTACATAATCTTTCAAGACAATTTGAGGAAGGTCGGGCGGCCCAAACATTAATTTGGGCCCAACCTGCTAAAAATAGCAAGTATTCGAGAATGGCGTCCTAGACCCACTCGGGAGTGACCCACACGGTTAGTAGCCCAATAATATGTATGAAAAATGTCAAAATAAGTGATAGAATGACTAAGGAAGAATACAAATGCCTATAGCCCCATCTTTGACATTATTGAGCTAAATAATGGGAGTAGGTTTTTCTTCTATAGTATTCATCATGTAAATTATTGGGATGATCCTACACATGGTTGAGACCAATAAAATGATGTAGGGAGTTGACTTGGTCTATATAAATTATAAGGAGTACAAAAAGACATCTCATGACAAGGATAAAACAATAGGGTCCATCTTTTCATTTTGGAAGTATTGGTAGGTATTTTGGACCCCAAATTGAATGGGATCATTTGGGAACCATCCCACATGACCTTGGTACCTGCAAGACAAAGAAAAATGGGTGAGACAACTATGTGGGGCGGACATTTGACTTGAGAGCTACAACATTACAAAAAGGAAATAAAAGAGGAGGTCCACACCATATTTAATTGCAATCAAACACCCTACCCTTTCTTTTTGTGAACCACAAGCTTAGATACCATTTTGAGAGCTCCTAAACACCTCCCCCTCACCCCTCATTCGAACTCCCAAGGATAAGGGAGAAGGAGAGAGCCACACAACCAAGAGAGCAAGAGAAAGGGGAAGCTGCCGCAGGTCCATTTTCCAGTGCGTTGGGTTGCTTGTTTGGTTCATATCTCGAGCTATACTTATCCAAATAAGGCGTGTGAGGTGCCCAAAGAAAGCTCTCAAGAAGAGGAATCCGTGAAGGCGTGGTTTGCAGAAAACGGAGTAGTGGAAGACCTCCAAATCGTCCGAACAAAACGCAACCTCGCAGATTACGTTTTTGTATTCAAAGTAAGTTTGAATCCAAAACCTTCCTCTCTATTGTCTAAATCATATGGATGATTGAAGAGCTATTATAAACTTGTTGAAGTGTATAATATGTTATTATATAGTGACTTTATTTGTTGGAAAGGTTAGATACTAACCTAGACAAAACCTTGAAAGGCTAGGGAACGAATTCGCCGGAAAAGCGCCCGTTCTAGGGGCTGTTTTTGTATCGACATTTAGGGGTTGAGCTAGCACTTTGAAGAGGCTGTTTAACAATCATATTTAAGCAAGGAATCAGTTCTTAACCCACCTTGACCGAAGCTTTGACCATTGGATCAAGAAGGAAGAGTTTAAAGCTCAATTAAGGTGAGGATCGACATCTAATTGCTTACAACTTGTAGGTTAAGTATGAGATTACCTAAATGCCTAAATCATAATTTTTCATGGATTATGATGATTAAATATTGATGAAATATTGATATAGTTCCCAAAGAATGAAATTGGAAATGATTTGAGGATGTATGTATAATAGGAGATTAAATGAGTTATAAATGAACTATTTTGCGAAATAGGAATTTTACTCATGTATTAAATATGTGGATACATAAATGGATATTATGTATTGAAGTTGAATATTTAAGTTGATGCTACATACTTATAAATATGTAGAGAATTACAAATGAAGATATTTGTATAATGACAATAATCTTAATAGTATTGAAAATACTAGTTAGTGATTATTTGAAATTGTTGATAGAATTGATCCTAAGTATTGGATTGTATGGAATGAACTTGAATGTACTTCAAGTGTATAAAACGACTTAGTATGAAACTAAGGGCAAGTTATGGGCGGTCATTGAGAATGACCCAAGGTAGATTATTGAGATGTCAATTCTAGGCATAGAGTTGCTTAGGAATTGGACTATAATGAAGAATTAGAGCCGGACTCTAAGATTACATGGAAACGTAGTTGGGCCGTGCCCTTGCCATGTAATTGTGATTTGCATGGAAATGTAGTTGGTCCGAGACCTTGCCATGTAAATTGTGATTTGCATAGAAATGTAGTTGGTCCGAGACCTTGCTATGCAAATGTGATAGGATGTAAATTGTGATTTGCATAGAAATGTAGTTGGTCCGAGACCTTGCTATGCAAATGTGGTAGGATGCAAATGTAATATAACGAACTTGACATAAAGGATTGCATAGAAATGTAGTTGGGCCGAGCCCTTGCTATGCAATGGTAATGTAATGAACTCTATGAATTGTCGTGGCTCATAGTCACGGAGAATGGGAATGGTGATTTCTAAATGAACATGGGCCCACGGGCCGACTACTTGACTTTTATATAAAGTAAGTATATATTTTTAAAACGGGGTAACTTAGGGTTACCACTATATTGTATTATCACCCTATTTGAGGGTCTTGTTTTTGAAATACTTGTTGTATATCTCTTAGATGCCATCCACACCAGTACTTTATAGCCGTATAGAGTACTGACCCCTTCGGGGGCGTCCCACCACCATTTCAGGTTGAAGCTCGAGCTTGCTATCTGTGCCCGTTGCTCGGGTGATCCTTTGGAGAGAAGACGTGGTTCGTGCTTTCTCCATTCTGTTTTGAACAATATTAAACATGCTCATGGATATTTTACTATAGAGCCTGCGTGCTCATGAATAGCCCTGTGTGGCCCTTTTGTTTTAAACAATGTTTTCCGCTGCGTTACGAATTACTTATTATGTTTGTTTATGGATGTTATGTGTGTGAATGATATTCAAGACGCCTTGTATAATATGAATGGGTTGGACTGCGGTTGACCATTCGTATTGTACGGCGGGTTGTTGACGTGTCCGGGGAGGTCCGGGGCGTGACAGGTATGGTGGTAACTGATTTGATTCTCTTTGTACTGGTCTACAAAAGAGAGTAACGCGTGTACGCCTAGAACCTTCTGTGGATAGCTGCCTGGGTGACATCATGGGCTCTGTGGGCCTTGAGCTCGGGAACAATGTATTCAGCTAAGGAGAAGGCGACCTCAACTTGCTTAATTGATGCTCCTTCTAGCTCTTTGACTCTGTAGGCGGTTAGTTGACTTCAGGTTTAGCCATAGCGTTGACTTTGGCGCTGACCCAAACAGCTGACGTGCTTGGGCTCGACTCCTGTTTTGAATTTATCTCGATAATCTGAGGGTTGACTTCAGAACCAAGCTTGGCGGACGCGGACTCGGGCTCGATGGGAGAAATTGACTTATCTCGATGTTCAAAAAACTCATTTTAGGAAGCAACCTTGACGACACAGGCTCGACCTCGATATTAACTTCATACCTAATATTTTTAGGAGATTGTTTTGTCCATAAATGTTGATACTCATGTTCTTACTGGGCTCCTAAATTGTTGGAAAAAGAAGTAATTAGAGTTTGCACCCCATTTTATTGTCCAAATTAGACTTTGCATCCCGTTTTTAAAATTCTTTGTATGTGCACCCCAACCCCGTATGAAAAGACAAAAATGCCCCTCCATTTGCGATTCTGTTGGCCTTCAACATATTCCCGATCGAGAGACATTTTTCTCTTCTCATAAATAATCAAAATTTTAAAACGGAATGCAAAATCTAAATTGACCAATAAGATGGGGCGCATAATCATGCCAAAAAAAATCTCCGAGCTGAAACGTGAACTAAAATGCGCTTTTCACGCTTTTAGCGAACTTGTTTATTTTCCACAGCCACTCCATTTCCAAGAATCTGTTTCTCATCCATCTGAAATATCTTACCCGTTTCTCCGACCATATTTTATCGCGATGAAGATTCGATTGAGTAATAGGATGTACAAAGTTTGACAAAGCCGGAGGAGTCTTTAGCTTTGCAATCCACAGCTTTTATGGATGAAGCAGTGAGAATAGGTAACTACGACGCTGTAAGCGCCGCCGGGGGATATGGAGATAGGGTGATGGAGTGGGAGGACGGTCTTCCACACGGAGACGATCTCACTCCATTGTCTCAATCGCTAATCCCGCCGGGGCTGGCCTTCGCGTTTCGGATTTCACCGGAGCCGCTCCGGACCATGCTCGATGTGAATCGCGCCTCGAACATGACGTTTGCATCGCTGCAAGGAGGGAAGCATCAGACGGTTTCGTCCTTGAATCTTAATAGTTTCAAGCCGTTCGATGAAGATCTGAACAAGGAGAGGATTATTACGGACGACGATGCGGATCTGACACGAGAAGGATCTGATTCGAGGAAGAATCGGCGGATTGAGACCGGAGGAGGCGGGGTAGAGGAGGCCGACGACTCGGCTATGCGGGATGGAAACTGCGGAGACGGTTCGTCCGCGAAAACTGCTCAGAAGCGGCAGAGGCTCGTTTGGACGCCGCAATTGCACAAGCGATTTCTGGACGTGGTGGGACATCTCGGCATCAGCAAGGCAGTGCCGAAGACGATTATGGAGCTCATGAACGTAGAGGGACTCACAAGGGAGAACGTCGCCAGTCATTTACAGAAGTATAGGCTGTACTTAAAGAGGATGCAAGGGTTCCCAAACGAGGGGCCTTCTTCTGCATCGGATAGGTTGTTTGCTTCGACGTCTTTGCCAGAATCTGGTCATGGACATGGCCACCATCATAATAGCAATGAATCTAATGATCACATATCGATGCCAATTCCTTTGCCTTGCCCGCACCAAATGCTTCCCATGCCATTGTTTGGTATCACTCCTGATGGAATCAATGGGAAGATGGGAAACCAAAATGGTGGACCCCCTAGTCATCTTCATCATCAGTATTATATCGGCCAACAAAGGGAGTGGCCAGGAAACCAATTTGGTGCATATCATCACGTTCCTCCTGAAAAGTAATTACTTGCTCAACTTGTCTGCACTTAACTCAATGAGGCCAGACTGTGCATGTAAATGACCTTCTTTATACGAAGTACTCTGATTCATGTGTTTGATGATATTTCTTTGTCAGGAGTTTACTTGATTAATGTAGAATTGTCGGGAAATTTTAGTTGTGAGAATTATACTCGTAGATTAACAATTAATGTATTACTGCTATTAGTAAAAGATCTGTTGTTCCTGTTGTGAGGTTGAAAATGAAGATGTATGGTTGAGATTCGAAATAAAATAATTGAGAAAATAAAACCCTGTTTTCTTTTTTCTTTTTCAAGGAAAAAGGAAGACTTTTTGGGACTCACTAAAAAAGAAATTAAGAAATAAGGTAAGATGGTGGAGTTTTTTGTTATATCATTCGCCTTTCTTAAAGGAGTTGAAGCCAGTATGGTGTGTATTATTGCACAACAACTTAATAGTTAATTGTATCTTCATGTAATACTATGCATATACATAAATACTTATACATTCTACAGGAAGGACACTCCATGCGCTGATAGTTTCTTGGAGTGTCAGATGATAAGAAGACCCTCCAAGCTATATCCCCATTCTTAGCATATAAGCAAAAATGGCAAAATGTGAATTGGGGCTGCATCCTGGACAGAGTTATCTTTTTTAATCATGTTTACAGTTTTCTGTTCAGTCCATATATACCCTATTTTATTTTGAATTAATACTCCCTATTTTATTAGAGTACTTATTAGTTGTACTACCTGTTCCTTTTTAGGTAGAATTTTATTATATTTTCTATTTTTGGTTATTTTTATTCTACCTTTTCATCTTTCTCTTTTCTACATTCTCATCTTCTCTTTCGCACTTTTCATCTATACTTTTTTTTATCTTTTCTACACTACACACAGATATTTTTCTTTAATCTCCGTGAAAAAACTAGAGTAACAACAATCATAGTTGGAGTAATTATATCTTTCAGACATTGATTCTATATTGTTATTCTATAAATATATTAGGGATACACTCCTGCACTAGCTTGAATGTTATCTTGAATTTATTTAAATCTGCGATCATATATGACCATACTAGAATTGTAAACTAAATCAGACCAAATAGCTTAGATGATAATAGAAAAATATACAAAGTACAAGATTGGACTATAAAAGTTACACCATATTTGCTATAGATGTATATATAAATGTTTTTTGTTGTCAGTGTGAATTTCACAAAGATTAACCCTGATTCACAAAAACTGATGCCTCATGCCTAACAACTTATCTGATCGTATTTGATTCAAACAGATGTATAGAACATTAGAACTCAAGTTCCTGTGTACTTTTCCTGTTAGATATGAAGCAGAGAAGCTTCTAATGAATCATTGTCTACTGGTTGCATTTTATTAGTGTGTCCTCAAACCTCTTGTTTAAACCATAAATGGCATGTTTTGTTGTTGGTAACTGTTAAAACCTTCCCTCGGTCACAACCTGAGATTCAATTGTATATCTAATCAAATACTGAGTACTATCTATCTGTCAATGGGTCCTTGCAAGTTGCAATGCAAGTTGGGCATCTGAAGCTCCTCCAGTCACTATCTTTATTTGTCCGATTTTCTTTAGCCTTTGCTATTAGTCATTTATTTATTTATTGTTAATAATGTACTGGTTCATTTCTGATTTTCGGTCTCTAACCTTTGAAATGATTTGATACCATTTGACCCCATTTAGGGGGACAACTTTAGAAATTGAACTACAGTTTGCTTCTTGAGCCTCAAAGTTTTCTTTCTTTCTTTCTACTCCGTATTTCCTCCTTATTTGAATTTCACTTTTTCACCGAAAAACATGGCAAATCTCATTCATGGAATTTTCCTTGGCATATTTGGATCTATGCTTTACACTAATAAGTGTAAAGTGTAGTGCACACGCCAATGTATGGGAAGCATTTTTGTAGCAGATAATCTTGGAGACCTAAGCCTACCACAACAATAACAACGTTGGATATTACGTAGATAAAAATAACAACAATAACATAAGAAGGATAAAACTAGAAAGAATGGCACAGATATCACTCTCCAACTTTCATTAGGCAAATATATGACCAAAATTTCTTTTGGCAACAAACTGACGGATTCGGTTTTTTTCCTTCTACACTTTGGAGGCCCATCATCTTCTGCGCTGCAAGCAAGGATCGTTGCCAGGAGCAGAGAAGACCTCCCCTCCCCATGTTGTCGCCCTCTGCAGACGGAACCTCGCTGCCGCCATCACCCTTCGCAGACGGTTCCTCTCCCTGAGCTTCGCCGACCTCGCCTCTGTCTTCTTCCCTGTCGTTTGGATCTGTTACATTGTTGCACGACGCTATGACGACAAGGAGCAACACGGCAGGCTGATCTAGATCCAAATCTAAGCGGCTAGGCTTGGGGTTGGTCAGAGGTGTTGCGATGGCTTGGAGTGGGATTTGGGACAAGGGCGGGGGAAGGTAGGGAGTGGACTGGGGAGGGGGGTTGGGGGTTGGGGAGGGGGGTTTGGGGTGTTGGGAGCTGGTCACGGTGGTGGTGAGCAGTAGGCCAGTTTAGATTTCAGATCATGGGTGTGGTAGGCCTGGGGTGAGATGGGGTTGGGGTGCGGTGGCCGAACCGAGTGATGGCAGCGTGGGGCGGTGCCGACTGCGGTGCCGTCCAGAAAAAGGACGGACGGAGTAACTTCCGATGGTGGCCTTACTGTAAAATCGAGTGTCACTGTGCACTGGTGACGTCACTGTGGCGGCGTCACTATTGTGCTGGTTATGGTGACACGGGCGGTGGTTATAGTGACACAGGCGGCGGCTTTAGTGACACTTGAGGTGGTTATAGTGACACGGGCAACTGCTACAGTGACACGAGCGGCGAGTATAGTGACATAAAATACAATAGTGACATACAAATCTGGCAGACACTATGTTTTTCTAAATATATGACCTCCTTGATCACTTTTTTGCCCCTTTTTAAAAGTGGTCCCTTTTTTGTACTCTCTCCGTCCCAATTTGATGATCCCGTATTTCCTTTCTGGGCCGTCCCAAATTGATAGTCTCATTTCCCTTTTTGGAAAGAAATATGTGGTCCACATCATTTCACCTTTTTCTACTCAAATCTCAACCACAACTTTTACCTTTTCAACCACTTCCTTAATCTTTGAGCCCAAAAGAAATGAGATCATCAAATTGGGACGAAGGGAGTAATTGATTCAAAATTAGTAATATTTAAATAAAAACCCCATAAAACTAAGGCATTTCCCCATGAATATTACGTAGTACTAAATTAAAACACAAGACAAAAGTATGATTTATTTTAAAAAATTTCAAAAAAGTGACATATTATGTGATTAGGGGTGGACTCGGGTCGGGCCGCCCGGCCCGGTTGGCCGGGCTTCGGGCCGGTTCGGGCCTACCGAACCGCTCAATTCTCGGGGCGGGCTCGGGCCTCCTAAAAGTGGAACCGCCCGGTCCGGGCCTGGTCCGGGCCTTTTTTTTTCAATTTTTTTTGTTTCTACCGGGTTGGGATGGGTGTTTGGGGGGGGGGGGGGGTGAAGGGGGGGGTCGGGGGGTTAATTACAAAAGCAAAAGAAAATTAAAAAAATAACATTGAACCGGAACCGGCCTGGAACCGCTACCTACCCCGGGCTGGTTCTGGTTCTCCCTTCCCAAAGAAAAAGCCCGGCCGGGCCCAGCCCCGAACCGGAACCAGCCCGGCCCGGGTCCATCCCTATCTGGCTGTCTGTGATTAGTTATCAATGACTCATCATTTATTAAGGACACATCACTTTGAAATATACTATAACGACTCTTATTCAGTTACTCATACATAGTTACTAGTATATTTTTGTTCAAAATTACAACTAGTTATATTTTTGTCTAGGGAAACGATATTGGTAATATAAATGTCATTTTTTCTGAAAATAACATAATAAATAAAAAGATAAAGAGGATAAAATATCTTTATACGGAGTATAATACTCCCTCCGTCCCAGTTAAAGGTTCCCACTTTCCTTTTTTAGACGTCTCATCTAAAGGTTCTCACTTTCTGTTTTAGGAAATAATTAACACTCTTAAATGACTATTTAATCATCAAATATTAAAAAAAATACATTTATAAAATCACAGTTATCACCAATAACACATTATATTATATACTCATCAAAATTGTTTTTCAAAACATTTCGAATTAGCATATTTAATTATCGTCTAAATAATCGTATCATTTTGTCACGAGAATCTTTAAATGTGACGAAGGGAGTATAAAGTAATAGAGTTGAGACAACTATTGGAAGAAAAAATCATGTCCACAATAAGGGCAAAATAGGAAATTAATGAGAAAAATAAATTTGGTAATTAATGATGGTAAATACAAAAGCAAAATTACGCCCAAAGCCAAAGGTACGATAGAAATATTTATGAAGACTATCTAACATAATTAATGTATGACTAAAAGCAAACTACTTTGAAACTTTATGCGGAGTAGTTTTTTACGGTAAAATGGGCGGCTTTATATTAAAATCGAGAACACATAGAAGACAATTTTCAGACAGATTTTACATATCCAATCGTGAACCCTATGAGTAAACATAGAATCAGACAACTCATACAAAGCGACCTGATTCGCTAAACCTGAAACGGGCAAATTTAAGCCTAAAACGAACGGATTAGAAACCATGCCTATTAAAAGAACTCCAAAAACCCAAACATTCAAATCAAATCTACTCTGACTTAAACAAAAACAAGTACTACTAAAGAGAAAATAATATTGAAATAAAATCTTTTTACAAAACTCTTCCAGGTATGGAGGTGGTTCCGGAGGAGGACGAGCCCTTGCAATATGGATGAATACCAACTTCACCACCGCCGGAGCAACCGGCCAAGGCTTCACGATCTAGCACCGATACAAACTCTCAGCCGCAATCCGTTCATCCGCCAACATTATCTCCTTCGATGTAGTTGCAACCCTAAGCGTTAGAACACTTAAAATCAGAATAATCTGCCGCTCCAGCCCCATATTGATAGGGGCGGCGGAAAATCTCAACCATTACAAAGAGGGAAGACGGTCGCTTGTACGGAGTAGTTAATAAGAGCATCTTCATTCACGATTTTAAAATAAATGGTTTTTCTATTACACATCATTGACATATCACATTTATTTGATAAATGCAATTTAACTACCACTTAAAATAATTCGGGATCCAAATCTTGATATCGTACTTT